GTGTGGCCGGGGTCAGTCACTAACGCCTGCAGTGTGGCTGGGGTCAGTCGTTAACGCCTGCAGTGTGGCTGGGGTCAGTCACTAACGCCTGCAGTGTGGCTGGGGTCAGTCGTTAACGCCTGCAGTGTGGCTGGGGTCAGTCTTTAACGCCTGCAGTGTAGCTGGGGTCAGTCACTAACGCCAGCAGTGTGGCTGGGGTCAGTCACTAACGTCTGCAGTGTGGCTGGGGTCAGTCGTTAACGCCTGCAGTGTAGCTGGGATCAGTCGTTAACGCCTGCAGTGTAGCCTGTGGTCAGTCACTAACGCCAGCAGTGTGGCTGGGGTCAGTCGTTAACGCCTGCAGTGTGGCTGGGGTCAGTCGTTGTAGCTTTGACGCCGAACGTTACAATTGATCGTTGTCGCTGCAGTGTGTTTAGGCAATAATGTATGCACGTGCTATAGGTGTTGTGCAACCGTAGAGGGCATCCATAGGCAGCAAGCCTGAATAGACATCGAACAGAATCAATTAAAAATACTTAGAGAGAGTTTAATTCGTCGCATACGCGACGTACACTTTATTCACGTTAAATCACCTTGTAGTCGGATCCCGTTTTAAATACAAAATGGCCGACCGGCCACCATGTCTACACCACTTGACGCGACTGCACGAATATTACACCACAAAACCATTCTCACTTCTAACGCTTTCTAGACGTGCACGGGGCTTTTACCTTGATGGCATCATGCAAATTATTACACTCTAGTTCCTAATTTTATCGAAAATTCAAAGGAAAGCCTGTTCCCTAAACAAAATAGTGCAACGCGGCGAACAATTTGCGCATGATTATAAATGTATGCCACCTATAGGTAAACTGACTGTCACTCTAGTTACTAATACTGTTAAATGTGTGTCAAGTTTACTGAACTATAACATATATTGTTATAGTTCAGTGGTCAAGGTACTAGCGATGAGAGAAGAATACGCGGCAGTCCGCTTACCGGCGCGCATGCGCGATGACCTGCTGACGTTGATGATGACGTCACGATGACCGTAACCTGATCACGTTAACGTTTAACGTTTACAAATACAATAAAAACGTTTTTACAAACGTTTAGAAAGCGTTATAAACACCCTACACATTTACGTTATATAAACGTTACAAAAAACGTTAAACTCGTTTTTACGCTTATTGCGTTCTCACTTTCTTGGCGCGTTCTCCCAACTTGCACCAGAGCGCGAAATTTTCGCAGTTGTTTCCCAACAGAGAGTAACCGCCATCTCCGATCCGGCTCTCCGCTCGATCCATCACCGTATCCGGCGGGTCGCTCTCCTCCGTTGTAGACGCGCCTCCAAACTCGTACCATGTATTCCACCAGCTCACACCGTAAAGGTAGATCTTAAGATTGCCACCATCTAGGAATACGTCGAGGGTATCTCTGCGTATTGTCGCGTTGGATTTGTCGCCAGATTTTGCGCCACTGAAGTGGATGACTTTTCTGCCGTCCCAGATGCCATGGTGACGGTAGCCAATGGCGTACCGCCACACGTAGATGTGGTCGCCTCTCCTCAACTCGCCTTCACTGATGTCATGAAACAGCGGCATCTATACAACATACACCAAACAGTCAGCAGCTCCACATAGTGGCTGAGTGTGTGAGAGATAGAACGTGTAAACTTCTGACGATAGAATGTCAGTTTGTTAATGCCTCGAAGATATATATAGCCTCGTCTCATTCCCATTACTTCAACAGTGAGATGATATGCGTTCAACCCCATATGCAGCTACTCTAGCACCCGGGAATTTAATGCAGCGTTTAAGGATTAGGTTGGGATTATGCTAGCTACTCGGTTCGGCTTGGCTATGAGATTCTGTTAAATTTAAAGTTAGAGTTAAGCCGTTAGGGTTGAGGTACGAGATTGAATTATGCTTATGATTTATGTACCACCTATAACTAAAGATAAAAGCTCTAAAAAGCGATAAAGGCAACTATAAAAGCTCTCTGCTTAGCATTCAGCAAAGAGAGATAGAGTGTGGCAAGCTAACTCGCAGTGCTACCAGTGAACTAACCCCCTACTGTAGCATTTACTGTGAAAGCAGCTGCGGGGTCTCAGGGTTACCGAAACGGAGATAGACACCGCCTAGCTCTAGTACTATAGCCGTCTATGGTCTGTGGCAACTGTACGCGGGCTATAGTACTAGAGCTATATAGGCACCGCCCTATGCGCCATATAGGCGCGGGAAGATTAACTAACTAATACTTAACGCAACAGCTAACGTGTCATGATCCTAACTCTGTTTTTAAATCTGGGACAACTGAAATAATTGTTGGGCTGATCAAGTGAATCCAGCATAAATTACCAGCGGAGATAGTTGATGACGCTTGTTTGACAGTGTGACATGCGTGTCGAAAATTATGGCATGAAAAGGTAGCGATGATGGGACGTATGAAAGGAGGAGTTATATAAGGAGGAGTATAATAAGGTAGCCGTACGTAATGATATCGGAGATGGAGACGCGCGATGAGAGGAAAAGCTCAAGCCTAAAGGGACGAGAAGAGGTATAGCCACGATATTACTATTCATGTACTTACTGGTAAGAAGACGTGAGCGTACAAGACATGCCAGAAGTTAAGAAAGGAAAACGACAAAGTTGTGAGTGATGACGAAAAAGCGTGGCCTCACAGAATGAATGTTGATTTTGAGATATAAACAATCACAATAACTCACCGTGTTCTATTAATCTTGCTATAGAGCCCTGCCTTAGTTTAAGCAATTACTCCGTAAGCCTTTGTACAGGTAGACAAAAAAAAAAATAAAAAAAGAAAAAACACTGCGCTTCCGTATCACAACAGCAGTAGATCTTGAGAGAAACAGACAAACCCAGGGCGATGCCGCGCTGGTAGCTTTATCCATGGACGCAGCGCGGGATATTGAACGCGCTATTATCTAATATAACATAATAACAGCGCCTAACTGCGCTTGGAAAAACATCGGCGGTGAATTCCCTCGAACTCGCTGCAGACTTCTAGTCTGCAACCAGAGCCCGACTACATCCATGTAGCACACACCCACACGCACGGCGCACGCGCGCGCCGCGAGCGTGACGCATGACTCGCTTACGCACGAACACACGCATGCACGCACTGAAACATTACACACACGCGCGCTGCGCTACGCATGCCCGTCACGCTACGAACACACGCATGCACGCACGTAAACATCCAAACATTTATATAGTTCGCGTGGCATGCATGCGCGGTGTGTGTGTAATATCTTCGTGCAAAAGTAAACACAATTATAGACTCAACATCGCGAACACCATACACCGGACGCGACGCACGGACGCACGCAAGCAAGCACGACACACACAGACCAAATCGTGAGTACGCGATATCCGAACGCGTGCCTCCAGTCACGCTGGTCGCACGCTGCAAACATGTTACCTCTCGTTGCCGTGCTAGGGAGTGCTATATCTCAGTCCGGTACGGGAAGATTACGGTACCATCATATTTGCTAATATAGTTGACTAATCGTGCGTCAATAAAACTCAATATTCAAAAAGAGAGTATAGCTAAGACATTGATCTATAGGTATGCGTAGAATTTTAGAAATTCTAATCATCTGNAAGGCCCGAGGGAGGCTGCCTGGGAAGGCCCGAAGGAGGCTGCCTGGGAAGGCCCGAGGGAGGCTGCCTGGGAAGGCCCGAGGGAGGCTGCCTGGGAAGGCCCGAGGGAGGCTGCCTGGAAAGGCCCGAGGGAGCAGGGGCGTGTACAAGATTTGTACCAGGGGGGGGGTCTAACCGTAACCCGAACTTGCGAGCACGCGAAGGGGGGTTTGGGGGGCCCTCCCCAGAAAAATTTAGAAATTAGACCCCCTTAGATGCGTTTTCTGCACGAGCAGGGGGTGGGTCCGGACCCCCTGGACCCACCCCTGTACACGCCCCTGGGTTGGAGAAGTTCAGCTGGAGGAGAAATTTATTGAATTATGGCCGGACTATCCGTGTTTTATAAGATGTATCATCTGTAGAATTCAAGGATAGGGACCCCCCACCCCGCCCCGCCCTTGCCTCCTCAATATCCAACTTCTCGACCATACTGTACGGTTAATCGCTCGCCGCCGACGCCGCATCAATAAAATTAACAACAGCGTTCCTTCTTCATACATATCCACGACTCCGCAGGGCGATGCCATATTGAAACCGTGTGACTCGCTTTGCAGTGGGCACACGACACGACGTCGTTTCAACGTTATATATAATATTATATTGGTTGAAACTACGTCATGACGTCCACTGGCGCCCACAGGTCTTAAGAAAGTAGAAGCACAGAAGGATAAAATCCTCAGTGATAATAAAAAGCAAGTGCCGTAGGCGCGCTACATGCTAGGGGGGGTCTGGAGCATGCCCCCCTGAAAATTTTTGAATGGTAGACGTCTGGAGATGGAATCTGGTTGTAGCCTGCTTTGCCACTCAATTACATAATTTAACCCATGCATCTTTTTGTGCCGTTTTGTGCAGCCGCGTATGGGGTGCCCACAAACTAACGGATACACAGACTGGACACTTCGTATACCCTGCTTGTTAAGCGTTTCGACGGTGCTGCCCCTGGCGAATGAAGCGGTCAACTACTCGAAATGGCACCAGGGGGTGTCTATATTCAAGCCGACGCGTACCGGAGATTACGGTACGCATATATTTGCTAATATATTGACTAATCGTGCGTCAATTAAACTCAATATTCACAGAGGTTATAGCTAAGACATGTGTCTATAGGTATCTAGAATTTTAGAAATTTAATCATCTGTAATTCACTTCCGCGCGCATATATTTGCTATATTGACTAATCGTGCGTCAATAAACTAAATATTCACAGAGAGTATATGAATTCAAGTCGGTACGGGAGATCATTTGCATAATATATTCTAGATACCTATAGACGCATGTCTTAGCTAT